ACCATTTTGAAGACGTGTGATCTCATTCAAAGACGAACAAGCATCTTCAGAATTTCTATGCAAAAGAGTGCGATTAAGCCAAAAAAAATGCGAAAGATCAGGAAACATTATTACAGTATAAGCTGGATCATCAACCAACAATCAAAAACTTACTTTTGCGCACTTGTAATTTCTGAATTGAGGAACTTTTTGATTGTGTTGGCACATTCCTCCGTCTCAGCACACAGCTGTCGTTGACGAGTTTTGATAAACTTCAGCAGCTCTTTCTACATAAATAAGCAAATAAATAAATGAAAACGATGGAAAAAAAATCATTATTCGATACTTTAAACGACAAAGTAGTCATTGAGGTAGAACTGATGATAAACTTTGAGCCATATTACTTGAAAATCTCATTAAATGACTACACCTAGTTAACAAAATTGTAAATACATCGGCTCTACAAGTCAGCCCTGTTTGACAGACCACTGACATGCGTGGCTCAAAATGTAGATACAGTTGCTCATGTATGTCCTAGTCAAAAAATGTCTCAAAAATCTGTGAAGTTGATCATGACCCATAACCCAAATTCGGAAGAGAAAACACGATAAATCGCGAACGAAATCCTACAATTCATTAAGGAAAGATAGTACTCCAAAAACCAAGTCTTAAACAAAGATAAAGTCTAAACTGAAACAGAATAACTAAGAAGTAACCTGTGGTACTCGACGTTCCAACCAAGAGCTAGCCTGATTAACAGCATTTCTGTAGTCTTCACTTGCCGCTTTGAATAGCTTTTCGAACTTCTCTGCTTGTTTCGGCGTTGAGGCAGATCTCAAATGACAAGTCAAAAACACAATGAAAGTCTATGGATCTGCAGATATTCTCTAGTTCATGCCTTGCCTTTCTGTGAAGATATGCATGTCTCTGATCCATCAAAGAGCTGAGTCGAGAAGGCAAAAAGAGTTTTAAAAATTTCCTGACAGATTAAAAAATACCTTTTCTTCAGTTGTAACAGCACCAACTGCAGATCATAAAGTCGTCTCTTCATACGAAAATAGGAATCCAATTCTTCTCTTAACTTCCCTTTTCCAACTAGAAAAAGTCGGAATTAAACACAAGAGCGATGAGACTTGAGCTAAACTTGAGATCTAACGTCTGTGTTACGGATTTCAGCAGCCACTATAGCTATACGAAGGCGACTGAAGTCCATAATACAGAAACAGCAGGTCCCAAATTTTGCTATTATCTCACCATTCTTCCAGGTTATAATTTACACCGTACTCTGTAGTATAGAAAAAAATTAAGCAGTAACTGAAAGGTTGAACTGAAATATATGACGATGATGAATTCTCAGAATTCTTCACTACAAGAATTCGAACGATGGCCACAAAGATATAGGATAGATTAGGAAAACTGGATAAAATCAGAGTTAGCTATACTGAAATGGTCACTAATGACGATGTACTTCGCCAAAATTCTAAAGAGACTGGGATGTTTGACAGTTTCTCATCCAGAAACAACAAAAATTCCTCTACTGACCTCCGACTCTAGGCAATTCAGAGCGATTTATGGAACCTGTTGCGATGCTTTGCCCGTTTTCCTTTCCAGACTTCATCGTTGGCAGCATACTCGGACTGCATAATCTGTGAAAAAGACGAATTGTGCTGGAGATCAGACGGTCATAAATAACATTTTTGGAACACAGATATGTTCATATACATATATCAAAATTCATAGATAAGCGTGGCAATATCTTGGAAAAGAGCCTTGTATTTGAAATCCAGATGGGTTACTCAGCAATCCAAACGATGACTGAGCTATAATGAGGCTGTTATAAGACGTTCGGCCATTCGGCTAACGTTACGGCGCCACTGCTTTTTTCTAACTCACAGCAGATTAAGGAATTCGTCCACTACCGTTCGTTTTTGTGATTTGAGTGTTCGTGGTCAACACTCAATTTGAGTGTCTTCATTCAACAATATCTTCTTCTTTGACTTCAGCTTTTGTTTTGGGTTTTTCCTGGGAACAGTTCTCCACTTAGGAAATAAGGTTGTTGTTTCGCTTGTCTTTTTTGAAAAGGGATCATAATTTTTGCCCAAGTCAAAGGAATTTCTCAACTACCTGAAAATTGATAGCGTGCTACGCTTTCCCCTTTGATCTGGGATAAACATTATGCGACCTTTCTATTTCATCACCACAAGTCATCTTCATCGGTACTTATAGAGTCGATAGAGAATTGCATGTCCATTATGACTATATATTATTTTATGACACTGTATTTATGTACCTTTTACCATAGGTCGCGATGAAAAGCCGAAATACTTACTCTGAGCAAGGACAGGCGAAACAACAACCTCATTTCCTTTCTGGAAAACTGTTCCCAGGAAAAGCCCAAAACAAAAGCTGGAGTCAAAGAAGAAGAAGACATTGTTGAATGAAGACACCCAAACTGAATGATGTTCCATTCCGATGAATTCGCTTCGAAGTGACCACGAACTCTTACATCACAAAAACGAACGGTTGTGGTAGAATTCCTTGAACTGCTGTGAGTTAGAAAAAGGCAGTGGCGCCGTAACGTTAGCCGAATAGCCGAACGTCTTGTAACAGCCTCATGACAGCTCAATCATCGTTTGGACTGCTGAGTAACCCATATGGAATTTAAATGCAAGGCCTTTTTTCAAGATACTGTCACGCTTTGTGGCAGCTAATGGAGGTACAAACTGGCCTGAATCCACTACCACTGCAATGATATAATCTGTAACGAACTACCATTCGTTACAAATTATATCACTCGGGTGGGGCTCCACAGCAGTTGAATTCGACTCAATGCAACTACAAAGATCAAACCCTTGATGAGTTGGAGTGGTCACTTACGGTTGAGGAAACTGAGTCATCAAAGTGTGCTGACACAAGTTCATACCCCACACTTTGGAAAGATAGAGAAATAAACCAAAGAAAATGAATGAACATCTATGGAGAAATCGGATTCAGAAATTTGCAACAAACAACGATTAACTTGTAAATCTTTCAGCAACCAATTATCAACGGTTTGGCCTAGTATCCATCAGAAGTCTCATTGACGCAGTACGAAAATTAACAAGCGCCCCCGGAAAAGGGTGAAATGCGGGTTCGATACCGTCTGAGGTCCTAAGTTTCGCGTATCACTCAACATTATCGAGAGTATATCCGTAACAGTATACATCTCTAAGCAGCGATTAGACAAAAAGAATTCTTCTTGATTATATTTCATATACTATTTCGGCTTCTGCTTGAAATTTTCTTTATGAACATTGGGCTTGGGTCAACCTCCTTACAATCATGAAGATATCCGGATGAAGCGGGGATCATGGGCTGAACCAGCACTTCCTTCCTGATAGGTCATTATGCTCTATCATAACCATCGGGATCGGACCTTTCAACTCTGCTTCCTAATGATTCACAAGATATATTTTGCCAAATAAACACAACTTACGTGCACAGTTGACATCTTCCTATATAGTCTGATCCAGAAGAGTATAGAATTATTATAAATAGAACTTGGAAAGAAACTACGCATCCTAACCTCTGATCACTTGGACTATCAGATATTTGCTCGCCTTCTAACACCACTAATGACCCGTCGTGGAGAGAAATGGTGTCCAAGACCTTGTCAACATGATCAGCGTTTTCCATCTAAAAGAAAACGAAAAGTTTCGTTTCAATGACAAGCGTGATCGGATATCACTTGGTCATCATAATTTGTAAAAGTAGCACTTTTTGGAGATAACTTGATGGTGGAAAAAAGGTCGACTGAGAGGACTCAAACAACCAATTAAATTGACGACTGAACACAAACTGTGTCTCATCTATTATTTTCAGATCACAGATATCAGCATGGCGATACATGATTTGAGTTCAGAAAATCGAAATTACCGAATAGCATTACGAAGAGGTTTCCTCTATGAGAGATCTACAATAGAAATCTTTCACACCATCACTGATAAAAACGTTGAAAAAGGAAAACACCGAAAAGGAATAACTTTGATAAGCTCCGAAATTACAGTGAAGTTGGCGACCAAAGCTTAACAAGTCAAACCTGATTGCACACGACTCCTCCGGTGTCGTTTCAGAACACGTGTTCCTACAGGTAAAGATAGAAGAAGGACGAAGTATCCGCGATTAATCGATCCCTAAGGATGCGTGATACATTCGTCTTCAGTCTTTAGCTCCGTTTCAGGTGATCGGATGAAAACTGGCCTTCCAAATGACTGACGGTGGCCAATCGACGCACCAAGGCAGTGCTGCTATCCTCGCAGACAGGTCTGGTACCAATTCAAAGACCCAAGAAGGGTGGAAGGCTTGGTGAGCGTTAGGAGCGATATCGAACCATCGACCGCGTGTGTGTAGCAGAGCACTTTTAGCCACTGCGTCACTAGCGTTTTTAGCTCCTCAAGATCAAAAAAGGTGGAGCAACAGTTGATATTAACAAATCAACTGTGACAAAGTTTGTTTGGAAAAGTTTGCTTGGATGAGTATCGAAAAAAGACAAGAGATTGAGTTGGTTGATATTTCTGGTCTTGTATGCAACATTCATATATATATATATATATATATATACATATACATATATATGTATGTATATATATATACATATATATGCGTATATATATATATGCATATATATATATACATAAATATATATATATATATATCTGAGCGGAAGAAATGCCTGGATAAGTATCAGCATTCATTTCAGTTGAAATTCTCAACAAAAATTTCCAAAATCTACGAGAATTCTTTTCAATTAACCGCTTTTTCATCGGTGGCATGATGTCATAGACGTACTCGACGTTGAATAGTGTGCAAAACTTGGACTTCAGACGGACTCGAACCCGCATTTCACCGTTTCCGGGGCGCGTGCTCAACAAACTGTAGTACTGGCGCCTCTTGTGCCGATATGGCTTGCCAGATTAGACCGTTGACGGTTGGGTACTGATAGATTGATGCGTTGTAGCCTAAAAAAAGTGACGGCAAAACAGGCGTCGGTAGTGCATTTGGTTGAGCACGCGACCCCTGGAAAGGATTTTATGAGGGTTTGAGTCCTGCCTGACGTCAAAATTTTGCACATAATCCGACATCACCGGGAATTTCCAAGATCACTGATAAATTAAGTAGAATTCTGTAAGGAACATCATCATAATCAAACATCCTCTTTACACAAAGTCCTAAGAGAGACTTGGCTTGGTTATATGACATATATGAAGATTAAACGCGCATCATAGACTTATGCTGCCAATGAATTGACTTGTCCTTCATAATTTAATTAGAATAGTATGCACATAATCTTTCCATTACCTCGACGCGATCCATTTTTTAGTAACTGACTCCGCAAGACGACGAACTGCTTTCAAATGTTCTTTCGCTTCCTCAATCCTATTCGCGTAAGCTAATTCAGCGGCCATACTGAAATGATACGAACTTTAGCATTCACTATCTGCCCGATTATATTCGTTCGCGTGAATTGACGAAGTTTTAGAAACAAATTGAAGAGACTATACGCTCTACCTGAAGCCTAGTGCCTTAGCTAGCGATACTCTACTGGATCCAGTCTTCAGAATTTGCCGTTTCTAAAACAAAGAGGCACTTAGAAGCTCAACTCAAGTGACTCAAGTGAAATAGACTCAAGTGCTGATATGAAGTCACTGTCAGCCAACCTCCGGAGTTGTAGAGACAGACGGCGAGTATATTAATGTTAGATCGGTGGCCATCAGAATAGGTCTCTACATTCTTGTCCAACGACAGGTTAAGTGCTTCTGCCGATCTGCTTTGTTTGTCCAAAAACGCAACAACTCACTGGTAATGAATGGCGTGATGGTACTTCGACTGAAATCGTGTACAAACCTGTGAAGCGCACAAAATCGTTATGAATGCTCACTGAACAACAACAGAAAAAGACGTGGTCATTACTATAACGGATGAATTACCATCAGTATTTCTTGTCCAGTTGCTTCGGCAGCTGACTAATATCGATGGTTTGGCGTGAATCAGTGAAGGCTGGCATGTTTGAGGCATCAACCGACCGAAGGCCAAAACTTATCGGTCTACTAAAAACATAAACCAGATATAAAATGGGCACTTCTGCACGTTCACAGCTCCATAAAAGATCAATTTATAACTTCTAGTCAAATATTTATTGGAAAAGCTCACCTCAACAAATCGCGCATGTTCTGTATCGAAGTGTCCAGTTTGCTCGAGATTCTGTCAAACACTTCCAGCTGACTCTCAGTTCTCTCTTTTATTAAAGCATTTCGCTTGAAGGGCGAATGCGGAGCGGATGCATTCACTGAACAATGCCTTGAGTTCTACCTATGGACAGGAATGAGAAATTTTGAATTACCGTTAATGAGTGAGAACTTCGGTGACTGATGAGATGACGCGAGTTTAAGAGTACTGCTCTGTGACTCAGAGTTAAAACTGAAATGATGGTGGAGTAATCCAACGAGATCGGAAGACAAACTAAAATATATTGAGCTTACTTCATGTTCTTTTCCGGTGTCCGGATATGCGTCATTGGAGTGAAAAATACATCGTTAGGGCTCGTAAATGTTTCCGGTGTCAGAAAAGTGGACATTTCTGAAACAAGGAGATTACCACAGGGCTACTTCGTGAATAATCAAAAGCAACCAAACTGTGACGTCATCAAAGCATTTCAACAAAGCATATTTATAGATCTCAATGGATATAAGATAAAAAAAGTCCTGTCTTTCCAATATTAAACGCACACATATACCTAGGAGAACTGAGCTCCAAACAAAAATTAGACCTTAAGCGGAAGTTTAACCCGCATTTCATCCATACCAGGGACGCGAGCTATCACTACTCCATAGAGGCCACCGTTTGCTCACCACTCATTTTTCAGTATCTCGCTATCACAGCTATCAACAATCAACAATTGACTGGTTTGGTCGCGTAAGCAATATCACTTTATAAACTCAGCTAAGCCGAGAGCCTGTACCTATATAATTTCTAAATAATCCCTATATAAACACCGTAAAACTGCGAAAAAAGCAGTAAAAACACAGGAAATCTTGAATTTTTATAGATACAATGCCTGTCAACTGGGTTCAATAAGAGATACTGCTTACCCGACCAAACCTGTCAAGGGTTGGAGGCTGATAATTATGATGGAGAGATCTTAAGGGACGAGTGGTGAGCAATCGGTGAAGTGGTAGTACGTGTTCCCGGTATGGATGAAACGCGGGTTGAACTCCCACCTGAGTCGGATTTTTGCTTACCACTCAATTCTCTGAGGTATACTTGAAACATCTTAAAACTGCAAAAAAAAAACATGAGAAATCTTGGAATTAAGCGGACAGATTTCAATTGAATTTAAACTCAAAGGGTTATGCTTTCGGCGTTGACAAGTCCCTAAACGATACGCAATGTATTCGACTTCATTGGGTGAAATTAGGAGTGATTGCACATATGACCTTTAGATTAACTCGTGGGATTCAACCAATGTATTAAGTTATTGCTGCTATTCTCCTGAAAGAGTTTAACATCAGGCCTTCTACCTATTTACTGACCCCGAAAGGATAAAAAACTTAGTGAGCTACTGGCACGCGATTGAACTAACGACCACGTGCGTGTTGCAGGGCACGTCTACACACTGCGCTAACGCATACTGATACAATGCGTAAGCACCATATATTGAAATAGAAAACATGTGAATCATTTAGTCTTGCCAGTGATACAAAATTCTCTTGTTCAACAGAACAAAAATCATGGCCTCCTTGGAAACCGTGAGATCTTCATTTGCCAAAGTTCGTATCTTCAGCCTCAGAAGGTAGGACGTGACGTCAAATCGTCAATAACACTCCCAACGTTCTAGCTCTCATGAGAGTTCCCACGCTCAATCCTCTGCTTGATAAGCCATGAAATGGAATCAATTCATGTCGAATAATTCCCCAATTTTACGGACCAGACATCCAGTAGTGCTGCAGGTAGCAGTAATTCCTTATTGTGATCACCAACCATTATCGTATGCATCTCAACAACAAGGATCTATATGGCCTGACGGGCCAGTTCGCATGAAGAACAGCTTGGCTCAAACTATCAAGTGTCGAGAACAATTTTTCTGGTCTCATCTCTAGCATAACATAGATAGTGAACGATGTAGTGATAGGATTCAAAAGAAGTACATCAAGAGGGAAATGAATTGACATCAGCGTTGGTTGACTTGACTTCCGTGTATGAGTGGAGATTGGCTTCTGTCGGGTTCAAAGTGACAACGTTTGGGAAACAAACGCCCTGGAGCGAAGCTTTCACTACATGTCTGTAAAGTCCGATAACAAATACTGAGCCTTTCATGAGATATGCAATGGCACTTCTCTAGTGCAAGACACGTGTTTCGGGTGATTTTTTCACCTTACAGCAATATGAGTTGTCCGTCGTTGATTCCTCTATATGTGGGGGGTCTCTTCTACAAATAAGTGAATAAAACGAAAGGCACCGTAAGAGTGATGAGGCTAAAAAACCGAAATATGTGTCTTGTGCTAGACAAGTACCATAACAGACCTCATGGAAAGCTCAGAATATGTTATCAAATTACACTGTTCTACACGAGGTCTCAAAAACCAGTAGAAAAGAAAGAAATATTTGTAAAGTGTTCAAATACCTCGCTTATGTAAAATATTGGTGATTTTAAAAGGATAAAAGATAAAGCTCTCGGCCCTAATTAATTCCGAAGGGAAGCGCCATGCATTCGTCATCAAATTTCAACTTCATTTTAGGTGACTGAATGCATATCTGGTCTTTACAATGACTCGCGGTGGTCTCCCGCTGAACCGAGTCAGTGCTGCTTATTCTCCCAGACAAGTCTGAGACCAGTCTGGTACCAAGTTACCGACCCAGGAGGGATGGATAGCTTGACGAGTCATCAGCGCGAGATCGAACCATTGACTTCGTGTACGACGCAGAGCACCTCTAAGCACTGCGCCGCATGCGCTCTATTGGTGATTACACCAAACGCAAATCTACGCTATTAAGTAATGAAGAGGAGAACGCATCGAAGGCATTTCAACCGTGCTAAGAAAAACACCAACCAAGATCGTGAACAGGTGGATCAGTTGTTTCTCCATTGGAGAGTTAGCATCTCCATCATCAACCTTGTCGACAACCATACCATCACTTGTGTCGAATAGAACACGTCGGACATCACCTTCCATAGTAATGCTCTGGAAACAGTCTGGGGTACACTAAAATTCTTGAATTCACTTTGAGACTATGGTGGTGAACCAATCAAAACAACCCTCACATTGCAATGAAACGAAGACAGAAAAACTTATCAAGAGATAAAACCCACGTCTTCCCCATCGTTGTCAGCTTCATTTAGATCTAATGAGCTTGTTCGACGATTTTCTTTTCCCATTCTTTGGATATTCATCTCAGAATGATGCTTCTTCTTCTTCTTCTTCGTCTTCTCGGAGTCCAATTTTCCACCCTGAACCGTCGTCAAAAGTAACTTGTTTATGACCGAACTCATGATTTTGTAGAAAAAAAAAGCAAGAATATCCTTAAAAGATACTTGTTCCGATCTCTGTGGCCTGCTTAAGAAGTATTCGACAGTCCATGGCTCACGTACCCGACCTTTCGGAGTGGTCTGATTATGCGCGAAAGTCTCAAGATCTCTGTCTTTTGGCGTCAATCCAGCCATGAATTTTGGTGGACTATGAGCTAAAAAGTGTAGATTCTAAAGCATGCTGAGTGATGAAGAATTTTCAGAACACTGATTTAACTTTTCCTAAACACGAAACAATTTCAAAGAATGAAACCAGACTTCGAAGAAAAGGTATTTTTACGCTCACCCTTTTGTCCACCTTTGCATGCGTTCAGCCGTCCTCTGAAGGCTTGCATCAAGATACGGACGACTTTGATGCGATTCGCTTTGCTCTTGATTACTTCGCGACTGTCTTAACGGTGAAACATCGGACCTTGCTGCTTGATTACACTCTAAATTAGCAAATACCGGTAAGAAACAGTGGAATCGTTAACATTAGAACCATATTCAATCGCCTACTGGTAAAAATTCTAGCTAATCATCACTTAAAAAAACC